TGTGGCATCCCATCAACACAAGAATACAAGAGAAAGCATATGAAGAGGAAGATCCATAAAACCCACAATCAGGAATTAAGATGGAGATTTGAAGCAACCAAACTGAAGATTTACAGATCCAGATTCAAGATTCATTAATCAAGTCAGAAATCAATTGATTAAGGTATGTTCCGCGTTAATTCAGTTTTTTGATGGTTTGACATGAAAATCTTAGCAAGATCATAAAGTTCAAGTTTTAATAAAGTTCTAACAGAAATAATCCTCAAGTTTTCAAATACACTTTGAACAAATTTTGTTCTTTGTCCAAGAAGTCTTAGGTCATCCCAATATTTTAGGAATTTGAAACTAAAGTTTTAAGTGAGCTAGAACTCAGCCAAGATATCAAACTCAGCATTCATGGTCAAATTCGAATTTCAGCTTTTATTTAATTAGATTTAAATTTGACCAATCTGCGGGCTTGCCTAGATCGGCCTACTATGCAAACCCAAGTAACGTGCTCCTTAAACTTAGAACAAGCTCTAATGGATTTTCAAGTTCTATTCTTTCGAAACACGCCATCACATGGTTTTTAACTTTCTAATTTGAAAATAAGATTTCAAAGTTTTTTATTCAAAATTCAGATAATAATTCACCTTTCAAAATATTAATAATAATATCGTAAAATTAAATTAATTCACATCACCTCTCCCACCCCAACTCAATTTCATCCCAACACTAAAAAGCACTGCCTCTCTCACTGTCGTAGCCCACTGCCCTGTGTGCGGGAGCACCGCCGTGAGCAGTAAGGCGACGATGCTGCCATAAGCTACTTCATTCCACATATGCTCTGGTTGATACTTCATTCCACTTCTTCAACAAATTGAATCCACGGTGGTGCCAACTTTCCCCGGCAGCAGCAATCTCCACAGCTCCTGTAGTGATGGATTGTTGGGCTGTGTTGATGGTGGTGGTGCGTCTATTGTGCGTGGTTTGCCTCTGTGGCAATAGCGATGCGTTGGTGTTAGGTTTTTGACCTATGCCTGTGTGGGTGGTGGTGGCTATGTTGGTCAGTTGGTGGTGGTTGTGGAGATGGTGATGCTGCAAGCGGTGGTGATACTAGCGATGGTCATGAGTGGTGGCTGTGGTTTTGAGGTAGTTTTTGAGATGGTTTGTAGTAGTTTTTGAGGTGGTGGCGGTGGTGGTGGTGGTTGTGGTTGTGTTGGTGGTGGTCACATGTGGTGTACACGGCACACACGATCTAGTATCTGGTGTTTGGTGATGCTGCAATCTAGCAACGATGATGGTGTCAGAGTTTGTTGTGTGATGGTATTGTGGTTACTGTGGTGGTTTTGCGTTGTCGGGGTGGGGTGGGGTGGGGGTTTTGCATGGTCGGGTGATAGTGGTGGTGCGATGGTCATTGGTGGATGAGAATGGGATAGGGGTGTTTGTGAGCAATAAATTGGTTGATCGTGATCGATAAATTGGTTAATTTGTGACTAATAAATAAAATGTGATCGTGACTCACAATTTATTAAGCTGTGATCAAAAGATTACTTATGACCAATTAATTTGATAATTTGTGAACGATAAATAAGTTGTGATCTATAAAAGTTTTGATTTTGTAACCGATAAATAAATTTTAACCTATAAAAAAAAATTATTTGTGATCGAGAAATAATTTGTAATTTATAAAAAAAATTATTTATGACCCAAAAATAATTTGTAATAAATTAATTCGATAATTTGTGATCAAATTATATAGATTTGTGACTTTAATATATTTAATATTTTTTAATTAATTATTTCATAAATAAAATTTAATAATATCTGATTTTTGAAATTTTAAACCTTATTTCTTAGTTTTAAAATGAATTATAGTTAAACTCTTTTATTTTAACCATCAATTCAATTGTATTTTAACTTTTTGATGCTTTACATTTTCATTCAACATTTTATTGGTTTTTTTTTTTTTTAAATATTTAAAAAAGAAGTGTATAAGCAACACAATTGTTCTTCGTGGACAATGACATTGATATAAATAACTCTAATTTAGGGGCGGCAGTGAACTCGAATCGACTCAACTTGTTCCACTATAAACACGTGAATTGAGTCAATCGGTAAATCAAGTCGTGCTAGACAAGTAAAGTTTATGGGCTCTTCCTATTTTCTTATTTTAATTATATTAAGTTTCCTTGTTTTTAATTTTGCATTTAATTTTTTTTTTCCCTGTGGGCAGATCAAAAAGTGTTTGATTGGGTCTTCGTCGTGGGTCACATGGGCTTGGCTGAGCCTGTCCCCTTGGTCTACAATCTGAGCTACGTGATCGGGGACATGGGACATTTCTGCTCGACCATTGCCATCCCCTGGTCGAATAATAAATTTTTTTAAAAAAATAAAATAAAAAATATTGGAGCCATTTTCTTTATTTTTTTTTTATTTTTTTTCAAAAGGTATAAAATCATGAAAATTGCAAATCGTCTCTCTCTCTCTCGGAAGCTCTAGAATGTTACAGCACCTTTGTAGATTGTTCTTATTCCCATTCCATCCTCTTCAGAGTTCTAGTACTTCCAAGAGTTCTCTTACTATCTCTCTGACTCTCTGTTCCTCAACAAATAGTAAGTTTTCACCTTTTTGCTTCAGAATTTCATTCTCAGTAAGGATTTTTGTAATCTGCTTCCTTTATTGCAAGGTATAATTCCCATTTGCTATAATCACATAATACTTAGTACCTCATAGTAAGTGATTTTTCGGGGTTCTTTTTACTGGATTTTTCGCTTTCACGAGTTGATAGTGGGTATAAATAATTCTTCCACTTTTTAATATTTAATTTAAAGGGTTTGTTAAAATTAATTAGTTCTCTGAATGGGAATTTTACAAGTTCCTTTGATTCTTATTGGGCTCTATATTTATTTATTTTTATGTCATGCAAATAATCAGCTTTCTTGATTGAAAGATTTGCCTCGCGTTTTATCATTACAGCATTTCATTTGCCATTTTGGGTTATTTTTTCTACTTCTTTTGCTTTCGAGAATTGATAGTAGGTATATTATGGTAAGAACTGTTTGATGATTTTCTTCCACGTTTTAGTTTTTAATTTCAATGGGTTTGTTCATTGTATCTGAGTTACTTCATATATGGGGGTAAGAAGAGCTATTAAAATGATTTAGTTAATTGAATGCGAATACATACTTCTTGATGCTTGAATGATTATATATTTATTTATTTGTGGATTGTACAGTTCAGTTGTAGTTATTCTTGTATTGAAGAAGTGGTTTTTTGGTCTATGGGGCCAAAGAACCATATCTTTATCCGTCGCTCCTCAAAGTATAATAGAGTTATTTGAAAGTACGAGCATGTTTTGCTCTGCTTAAGGCACCTTATTAGGTGCTTATTTTGACGGTATATGTCTGCGTACCATTTGAAAAAAAAAAAAACAAAAAACAAAAAATGCATGCTTTTAAGAAAGGTCAGATGTTGGTTTAGCCATTCATTTGTATCTAATGAATGTTAAATGTATGCAAATTGAGTAGCGGTTAGAAGGTCTGTGCTTCATTGACTTTTTGAAAATTAATCTCTGAATGCAGTGTTAATTTCATGTCTTTAGTTTTCTTTGTTTAGGAAAATTAAGGCAATTGCTAAAATAACAGAATAAATATTTATATAAATTAATGAGTGGACGACTGAGAATCAATAACAGTGTTCCGAGTTTGTTTGAAAACCATGGTCTCTGAAGAACAAAAACAAAAATAATAGGGTCAATAGTAGATTTCTGTATATGGCCGAGCCAATATATGATGATCAAACACACTTATGTTTTTGTCTCAAAATTAACCCCTGCTTATGTTTGGCAGTGAGGTTTTGTCGCTTTTCGTGATATGTTTCTGAGTAGGGTGTCTGTGTCAATAGTTGTGTTTCTTTTCCTTCTCTGGTGGACGGTGTTTAAACTTTAAACTCATAAGTTAGGTAATTTAAGCAGTAACTGTGTTGTGAATATATTGAACTGTTTTCTGCTTGATTTGCGTATAAGTACAGATTATTGATAGCAGATAAAAATATTGATTTGCGTATAAGTACGGATTATTGATAGCAGATAAAAATAACTTTTAACAGTTTTGTTAACTGTCTTGTTGTGAAAATAGGTGAATTGCAGTATTAGTGAAGAATAAGTCAATTTTCAGGAATGGCAGAACAAGCTTACACTGTGGCATCTGATAGTGAAACTACTGGGGAGGAAAGATCATCATCTACTGTCCCAGAAATTGCAATTGGAATTGACATTGGCACCTCTCAATGTAGTGTGGCAGTTTGGAGTGGTTCTCAGGTGGAGCTCCTCAGGAACACCCGAAACCAGAAGTTGATGAAATCATATGTTACCTTTAAAGATGAGGTTCCTGCTGGTGGTGTAAGCAATCAACTGGCTCATGAGTATGAGATGTTATCTGGTGCTGCCATTTTCAACATGAAACGTCTGATCGGTAGAGTTGACACGGACCCCGTTGTTCATGCAAGCAAAAGCCTCCCATTCCTGGTGCAGACCTTAGATATTGGTGTCAGGCCATTCATTGCTGCATTAGTGAAGAACATGTGGAGGTCAACTACCCCTGAAGAAGTTCTTGCAATATTTCTCGTCGAATTAAGAGTCATGGCTGAAATGCAGCTTAAGCGTCCGATAAGAAATGTTGTCTTGACCATTCCGGTATCATTTAGCCGATTCCAGTTGACCCGAATTGAAAGAGCTTGTGCCATGGCTGGACTTCATGTTCTAAGATTGATGCCTGAACCGACTGCTGTTGCCTTGTTATATGCGCAGCAGCAGCAGCAGAATGTGCACGAGAATATGGGCAGTGGAAGTGAAAAGATTGCACTCATATTCAATATGGGTGCAGGATTTTGTGACACAGCCATCACTGCCACAGCCGGAGGAGTTTCACAGATACGGAGTTTGGCAGGAAGTACCTTGGGAGGGGAAGATATCCTTCAAAACACAATGCGTCACCTCATACCCAATATGGATAGTTACTTCTCAAGACATGGGATCAACGAAATAGAGAAAATGGGGTTGCTTCGAGTTGCCACCCAGGATGCGATCCACAAGCTCTCTACCCAACCTAGTGTTGAAATTGATGTTGACTTGGGAAATGGAAGAAAAATATACAAGGTCCTCAATAGGAAGGAATTCGAGGAAGTCAACCAGAATGTGTTTGAAAAATGCGCTAGCCTGATCAACCAATGCTTATCTGATGCAAAGATAGAAGTAGCCGATGTGAATGATGTAATTCTTGTTGGTGGTTGCTCAAATATCCCGATGATTCGGAATATGGTTACGGGTATATGTAAGAAAGATGTTTACTCGGGAATGAACCCATTGGAGGCTGCAGTGCGGGGGGCTGCACTGGAAGGTGCAGTGGCTTCTGGAGTGAATGATCCTTTTGGGAGTTTGGACTTGTTAACGATTCAAACAACTCCACTGAGCATCGGAATTCGAGCAGATGGAAACAACTTAGTACCAGTTATACCGAAAAATACCACAATGCCAGCAAGAAAAGACGTGTTCTTCACTACGGTGCACGATAATCAAGCCGAGGCACTGATTATTGTCTATGAGGGCGATGAGGAAGCGGTCGAAAAGAACCATCTTTTAGGCTATTTTAAGATAATGGGGATACCTCCAGCTTCAAAAGGTGTACCGGAGATTAATGTGTGCATGGATATCGATGCTTCGAATTCTCTGAGAGTTTTTGCTGGGGTCATTATGCCAGGGGAGCAGAATCCTTCTGCTCCCTTTATGGAAATAAGGATGCCAACTGTTGATGATGGGCATGGTTGGTGTGCTGAGGCTCTGAATAGAACTTATGGTTCAACTTTGGATTTGGTGACGGTGCAAAAGAAAGTACAGCACTGAGATTTACAAAGTTTACAGCATGTCTTGTAATAACGTTTTACGAAATGCTGTTTGTGCCGACAAGTAATTACTTTTAATAGCTACTACTATTATGCAATCATGTGTGAGGTTTAAGTTCTGGTATTGTACACTGATTGATGCAGTAACCTTGTGTTTGGTCGTCTTGGTGTTTCTCTTTCGACTAGGATTGATGTTAAAACTTCATTTTAGCAGCGTGTCTCACGATGTTGTCTGTGTTTATGTGACCTTGAGCCTCTACATTTTGTCTGTCTATTTAGTTTGCTTGTGGGATTTATTTATGATAGAACCATACTGATGATTTCTTCAAAATATATAATTTTTCAACTCGTTCTTCAAAAAAGAGGGTAGGATCTAGACTCAACTTACTATTCAAAAATTGGAAGAATAATTCTTTCCCTGCAACCTAATCGCCTGGAAAACAGACTTTAACATATTCAAAGGGTGAACGTAAGTTTTGGGCCTAGACAATGTAAATCCACTCTTAAAATGGTGCTGCTAAATGTTGCCATCATCTTATCTGTAATCACACGACTAATTCTTGCAGTTGTCAATTCTTTGTAAACATGAGTTGTTGAAATATAGTTATAGAGTTTGCTCCAGTGAAAGCCCCACCCCACCAATTCCGAAGGATCGCAAAGAAAAGACCAAGCCACAAGTAAAAAGACCAAGCCACAAGTAAAAGAATAGTAGCATTAAATTTCTCGATCCTTAGAATTAGTCACATTCGTATTTCTTGATGGGGCAGCAAAAGATAATGATCAGGGTAAAGTATAGCAAATACAGTCTTTTCCTTCCATTCAAGGTCAGAAATGGGAACATATAAACAGAACATCATATTGATTGGATATAAGCATATAACTCAATAAAAGCATTGGGAAAAAAATTCTACTGAAAAGATATTGTTAGATACCAAGGAAGAATACATATTTATTCATTCTTCCAAGCATACAAGAACAAAGAAAAACCAGGACCTGGTAACTTAGATTCAGTGAAACTCTCCGGGCAGCTCAAAGAGAATCCGGATGGATCAGACAACGTTTGGCTCGTCCACAACTTCTCGGCTGACACACAAGTTTGAAACATGAAAACTGCATTTCCTAAACCCGGACCAAATAACCAATTATGGACATCCCAAAAGACTTCCACAGGAAGTCCATCAACCAAAATTGTGTAATTCCCCCTAAATTTCCACCTGAGATTCTTCACCTGCATAACTGGTTTCGTATCAATACGGATCACAAGGTAAGCATCGTTACTTCCACTTGTATCGCACTCGATTTTCACATCATGAGCCTCTCCATTATCACTGAATTGTGCCTTTGTAACATACACTTTCTTTCCAAAAATATGTTCTCTTCTGGAAACAAGTATTGCATTGGAAAAGGAAGGAATTGAACCAGTTTTCTTCAATGCTTCTTTCCTTAGATCCCCAATTACCAAAACCATCTCCATCTTACAAACAATTGCTATGTAATAACCCTCCACAGGCTCTGGCCCAGATCCAAATTTTGCTAAAGAAAGATCCCAAAACACTTCAATTTTACATGGATAAACCTCTAAACACTTTGAACCCTTTCTTTTTGTAAACAAAGATGGCTTCACATCAAATTTGCATAAGCAATTACGATATAGATCTTCAATTTCAATACTAAGGCATTGACCCATCAAATTCTTGCTCCAAATAATGTTAACCAAATAAGATTTACCTAGCAATTTACATTTGTATGCGCAAGTAACCAAATTTTGAGAGGCTTTACTCACGCCTACACTTGAACAAGAAGCATCAGCAACTTGAACCCCATTTTCACCAAAACAAGATGGAAAATCCCTCATGTTCAGCACATTCAAGAAAATCCCAGTTCAAGATTTAGCAAGTAACACTTTTGCTTGGGCTATTTTGCAGTAAAAATCTAATCTTTATATACCCTGCTGGACATCAAGAAATCAAATACAAAATATTAAAGAGAAGGACAGGTGAAAACTTACCAGAGATGAATCAATGGAAGGTGAAATCAATAATCCACAAAAAAAAGCGGAAAAAAAAACACCCCGATGTAAATTCAAGAAGTTATGTGATCTATGAAGTTTTCTGGGGTAATGCAAGAAGTGGGCATTGTTTTTAAGGTACAAGGAATCAAACTGTATTATAGGAAAGGACAAGTGAAGTCCAAGATTAGAGGCAAATTTTGGGGCGGGGAGCCGTATGTGTGGGGGGGATGGGGGACTAGAAAATAGCAGAATAAAATCCCTCTGTGCTTGTTTGCCGTTTTTTAACACAAGATTATTTCCAAAAGTTGAAATTTCATTTTCACTTTCACTGCAAAACAACAGAACTATAGTCACATGCAAAAGAACTGTAATTACCTGTATTGGGAGAATAAAACATGGATTGAAGAGCTTTGCAAATGAAACAAACCAAATATAAACTAATAAAAAGTAGTCCCGTAGATTGTCTAAATATGGTGCAAGAAAATTGAGTAACTTTTCTTAAATCACTTATCTGTCAAATTTTCTTTTTTAAAAAAAATTACTTCTTTATTAATGAACTTATTATTTTAGAAATTCAAATCTTAACTTAATTGCTAAAATATTAAGAAGAATCTTGTAAACACCATCAAAGACGTTCTTAGCCCCCGTTTGAGCCACTATAAAATTTTAATTATCATTCTTCTACTCATTTTTAATCACACATTTTTCAATAAAATAATATTTTACGTATATCAATAACGTTTCCTTCTTTTTCAACCACACATTCTCCATTAATATATTATTCAAAAATATATTATTTCAAAATAATGTGGCTCAAACACTTACTCTTTTTCATTATTTGTTTATTGCATCAGAAACATCACTATTAAAGATTTGAATTTTGTTTTCATTGTAAATTTTAGTTGATGAAGACAAAATTTGTGCTTTTCTATTTAAATCTTAAAAAGTTATATTTTTTATGTCCTCTTTTATCTTTGTCCATATTTTCAAAAGTTCTAACGACGATGGATCGAGGAAAAAAATTGTAACACGAGACCTCCATTTCTATTGTCACTATTTTGTCGAAAAGTTTTAGCTTGGCACAAATACAATCCATCTTATATAACACAAAATAAAGCTTGAGAATCCACCCCAAATCCATTCCACTGAGCATATCCTTATTTTAAGCATGCTCTTGCATTAAAAAGGGGGAAAAAGCCATTTCACTTAGACGTCGATTTAATTTGACGCTCACATTTAGGGCTGTCCATGGGTCGGTTCGGTTCGATTCTGAAGATACCCGAACCGATCCAAAACTTTCGGGTATTTAATAAATGGACCCGTCGGGTCCAAATATAATTATGGAACCGTTCGGGTTCGGTTCCGTTCGGTTCGGTTCGGGTCGGTTCGGTTCCGTTCGGTTCCGTACTATGAT